GTCGAACAGCTAACGGACTACCGATATGGTCGTGGATCTCGTGTCAAGGGGGTACGTACGAGCAGAATAACGTAATTAGAATTTTCAATACGTACGATCTTTGAAAGAAACTGATCGAAGGACGTTCGATCGAGGGAACCCCGCTCGCGCCACGGGGTAAACGCCCCGGAATATAAATCGTCTACCGGTTCACGGACGAAGACTGTTTATTATGTCTCAGCCCGGGGCACCGACAATAAAATAATTAACGAGGATCACGCTGTGAGGTTTCGCGAATCGATCACGAAACGCACGCTCGAAGGTGACCCGTGTTTTTCGTCGTTCACGCCGAGGGGTTCGCTACGACTAATTAGCATGATAATTAAGCGGCGCCGACGTCTTTAAGGGTCGACAGAGTCCCTCGCTCGCCTCTCTCGGTGAGGTCAACCTCTCTTGTTGCCTTCTTAGGGTACTACACGATCCCCGTACGGTTTAAAACGCACGATCGATGTCGAGCCATTTTCCAGTACCCCCACGACCAAAATATTCAAAGATTTAATATAGAAATTCTGTCGCGTCTATCGAAGATTTATATTATGACCCTCCCCGTTTATAGAAAATTTCTCGATCACCGTTAAAAGTGGTAAACGTAGGTTGCCTGGTACGTTCGAACGCGGTTCGTAAAAGGTTAATGGCGTCGCTGTCGCGAACGAGCGTTTTACGGTCGAAAAGACGGATTTCTCTCGGCGCAACATCAGTCACGCCGGGCACTGGTTATAGTTCCGCGTGTAGTATTTGCGTAAAATACGGGATACGGTGAGAAAAAATTTGTTCGCTCGTTGCGCAGCACACGCGCGAAAGGAGAAGAAATGGTACTGCTGTGCATAATTATGGTAAGAACCGTAGGAAAGATATTTATTAAAGGTCTATTCTGCCTTTATCTCGTGGCTGGAATCCGAGGCACTCCGCATTTATCGCGTCGCGTTCTGCAAAAACGAAGTGTCCGCGATACATTTCACGGCATTAAACGGATAAGCGATTCCGCGAAAGCTAAAACGTGGGTTTATCCCGCGAACGGGGCACAACGCGCGGCCATATATTAAGCGATTAATTTATTTTCACCGCGGTTGCTCGGCTGCTCCCGCGGACAGGCTCAATTGTGTTTCTTTGTCCATAAACGTCCAACCAGCCACTTCCACCTTTATAATGCCGTGGCAGAAACCGTGGAACAACGTCATAATTTCCGGTTGCCGGGGCTGCCTACACGATGAAGCCATTAATTGGTACATTAATTCCGAATTGCGGAACGCGGGGTTACCTCTCTCTCTCTTCCTCTTATTCTCTTGGACGTTCAAATTAAGTGTCAGCCGGTCGCGAGTTCCTATCCGCGCGATTAAAGGGACAATGTCTCTCTTAACGAACCTCGTTAATTAAAAATATCCGCTGTCGTCTCCTTCGGTAACCGTGTTTTTGCGATTTGTCGCCATCAACTTCCTCTACCCTCCGTTTAGCGGCCCGCACACGGATCGAGCCGATCTCGCAATAATATTCCTTTCAGGAATTCTGCTTAAATTATAGTAAATTAAAGTAGACGTTAGAAAAATTAATCGAGTTGCGTAACGACCCCCTCGTGGAACGAGCCATTAAAGCTACACGAATGATTACAGAGGCACCGGAGCCTCTACAATACCATTATAGCCAGTTGAAACGGAGGAAACAACTTCCAATCACTATGTCTGTAGAAAATTCCTGCTAAAGAATCTTCCACCACCGGGGATCCTTAACCATCAACGTCCTCGTTCCTCGACAAACAAGGGTCATCGAAGCAGATGATCCCTCCAGCGATTAGAATGGAACAAGATATATTCAAATAATAACGATACGTTCGACAGCAGTAGACAAGCTCGCGGATACTTTCGCCAGCAATTCGAGAGAGACTGTAAAAGATTGGGGGCCCGAAACCGCACGTAACGGGTGACCGAAAAAGTCTCGTTACGGGAAACTGTAACCGGAGGAGAGCTCTCAGAATTCGAAACCCCGCCAATTTGCGCGTCGAAGCTCTTTCCGCGGCGAGAAACAAAAAGGAGTTAATTCGAGGCTTTAAAATCTCAGGGACGTTCTCGTTCCCACGCCTCCTGGCTGGACCACGACCTCGGCACGCGACCCCCCGAAACCCATAAAATCGTAATTGCTTCCTCATATCGGTAGGCCCCGTCGAAGCTCGAAAGACGGCCATCCATCATCAATTTTAATTTGCGTATTAGACGAATAGGCAAACGAGCGAATCGCGAGATGCTGAAAAATTAGCGGCGAAAGTGATTTAAATCGGTGATTTTGCAACCGCAAGGAACACAGACTTTATCGAGAAAATAAAAAAACGTATGGGCATACGCGGCGTTATTATGCGAGTTCGTCAAATGAAAATGCAATAGGAAGCGAAAGTTGGGTGCAGGTGGCATTAAGCAGAGGCTGCAGACACATTGATGTATTTTACACGTAATAAATCGTCTCTATACGGTGAAGTCTTGTTAATAATAAAGCCGATTTATGAGGATCCGACCTCATGATTTATTAGAGATGTTTGGGACCCAACGCGCGGAATAATAACGAGTATTTACCATTCTCTAACGCGTACTTTTACCTCGAAACATTTGTACCACGGGCGATAATTCAAATTGCAACATTTCTGATTCTTTGTACGTTCGTTAAAGGATTTAAAAATTAAAAACAGACGCGAGATACTTAAATCTTGGTACTTGATAATAAAGACTCCAACGAGACGAGTTTGCCCTTTGCGTTGGAGTACCATTACTCCCGAAGTAGTTAAAAATTTGGTGCTCCCTTTCGATTTGCATGCTGTGGGAATCGAAGATCCGCTGTCAAGGTCCTTTTCGATGCTCGGGTAGGCGCGCGTAGACCGGTTTAACCGATCTGACGTATAAATTAGCACGATCGACGCGAAGACAATCGCCAAGCACGGGTAGACGTCGTGAAAATGATGAAGAACCGGTGGGAAATCGCCGCGGCAAGAAGTGAATGTCTTTCCTTTCACTTCTTTATATTCCGGCGCGATCTTTGGTAGAGCGTCTAGTTATGAAATAAAACACCGCGGTGTTACACGCGGGGTACCCGTATACATCGGTACGAGCTGGCGCAATATAACTCGAGGGGAGGGGGACTTTTACGCCGGGGCCCTTGATTTACAGCGCCTCCGCGACCTGCCTTAATAGAAGAACTGCCAACCTACAAGAACGCGCGACCACCTTCTTAACAGCCCGTGAATCTCTTCTTGCGACGACAGGATTCTCGGCGATTGCTTTCCGCGAATATTCCCGATTCGTGTTCAAGCGGCACCGCGTGTCGATGATCCCGCGCTTCCGACGGAATCCGGGCAAGAAACCGAACCGTTGCTTTATTAACAGACCAAGCGATCTGCTTTTCAGTTTTGAGATACACTTTCGAACTTAATAGAAAAGAATCTTGGTCCCGCGGAGGAGACGCTTTAGACAATACTCATCAGGAGCGTTCCTCGTAAAACTTAATTCCCCGATGCTCGGGTTTAATGAATCTCGATGGATCAAGAACGGGATATGTGTAGAATTACGATCGACGGTACCGTTTCGAGTACTCAACAGGAGCAACGTCTTGGAGTGTTGCCGTCGGAATGGAAAACTGGCCCCCGTTATCCTTCGCCGTTTGTACTAATAGCCGAGGCAACGACCGAGGCAATTCCTAGCCGATCCTGGTTCCATTAACAAAGTCATTTCACTCGGGGGATACGCCGTGGCTATTTAATGCTCACGGTCCCGGACTATCGAGGCTTCGGCGTTTCGTAGGAATGCCACTTTTCTCTTGCTTCCTGTCTTCGTTCGTCCCGGCCCCTTGGTCTTTCTCTGCTTCATCTATCGGCGTAATAACTCCATTACGGCCCGTCAAGGCCCGAGGTTTTAATGTCTCATTTCCATCCACGCACCGGCCGCTCGCGGGGGCTACCGTTTCTGCCTCCTGGACACGATGGCGCCCACGAAAGTGTCCCCGCTTATCGCCACTTTGCGTGATCGCTTCGAGGAACCCCCGCACGAGAGAGTCGCCGAACCGTTCGTTCGATAATCCCGAGTGTCCCGGAGCGACTTCGATAAAAATTAATACGGAAAGGTGTAATCGAGGAGTCCCCGGAAGAAGGAGGAAGAACGGTCGAGCGCGGAGTTTCACGAGGATGGCGCGTCTTTGGATACCTTATGCAGATTCCTCCTTCGTTCGTATTAATAACCGGCGAGAGTCTGGCCAGACCGCAAAGCCAAGGTCGCCGGGGTTAAGGCGTGTTCAACAAGCTGTTCGTGGCTACTACCCAAAGGGCCTTTCCGCGCAACCCGGAAGCACGAAGCCTTGTAACTCAAGATCGTCCGCGCTAACCGGTGGACGGTCTGTCTCCGGAATTCCTGATCCATCGTCGTCGACCTTCGAGCGAAAAACTCTGGGGTACGATCCGCGGACGCGAAACGAGGACGCGATTCGGAAAAAGCGGACACCGTCCGCGGATGGCGATGAACCGGGCTGGCCATTTAGGGAAGTCGTCATTTCAACGGAGGGAATCGTCATCGTACGACCACCGCCGTAAACGGACACCACGTACACGTTTCTATTTATTATAAGTCGGGAAAGTCAACAATCGGGAGCCGGAGTCCGGCCGTAAATCACGACGGATCGTCTCCCGGCGCGCCTTAACGTTAAGGACCGGTATATGTAACCTATAAGAGGGATGCGCAGGCGGCAGTGATATATCGTACAAGTCCCCCATTGTCTCTGACTAAGTTCACAGCGACGGGCCACCGAGCAACGAGTCTCTTCCTCGTATTAATTACAACGTCCCCGGCGGTTGGGTTGGGTTTGGACACATCTTGCATTTATTTTCGTTTACATACAGAGTGCAAACCGGTAATTTCGTTGTTCTATTTTGACGCGCCATTAAACGACAGCCGAACCCTATCTGTACAGAGTTCAAGGTAAGGTAAAAAACTCACCGTTCGGAGCCTGTCTGCAGAGTCTGGCGAACATCTTCTAATTCGTCGATGAACGTCTACCTGCAACCGATAGTTCCGGTAAAATCAATTGATCGAACGTTAACGTGGAAAGAGGAACAAACACAGAACTCGTTAGTACGACGTGATACGGCTAAGTATCTCGCTGATATTCCCTATAAATTACAATTACCCGCTCCGCGGTTAATTACGAGGTGGATATCAAAATTTACAACGACCGACGAGTGATTGAACTTCTCGAAGCGTAACCCATAACGCTCGAGGCGTAACGCGGCGAGTGTCAGATGGGATATTTCCGTAACACTAATGGCTACCAGTCGCCTGCTAATAATTACGCGCTCTTCTTGACTAATAGGTAACGACAGGTGATTTTCCTACCGGAGCGACCGTGTCCCAACCTACTGCCACCCAGCAGTGACTTTATACCAGCCACCCTCGGGGCTTGTCAGCGATATGATCGTCAATTCTAAATTGCACGGCAAACAACGTCAAATCATAAACCTTAAATTCTAAGTGACTCGCTTTACGACCGTTTTATAGCACAATAAGAAACGCGACCGTGGAAAATAGATTCCAACGGATCGTAAATCGAACCACGATACCAACGACAAGCCAGTTTAATGTACTAATAATTTCACACGTAACTGTTTCTAATTCTGTTTATCCCAAAAAAAATCTCTTAAATCTTGTCCTACCCTAACTTTATCGGTGTGGTACATTTAGGCGCGGAGAGGATTATAAAACAGCAAACAGCCTGATAAGAGTCGTTAGCGTTTCAATAATGCGGTTTGTAACTAACAAGTGCGTAAACTTGTACAAGAGACTTTTGCCACTCGTCGTGTTTGTTCGAAACACTCGATGCAACATCTCGGATAAGATAGTGTTCGATCTTCGTATCGTTGCCAGCCCGTATCGTTGCCAGTATATCTTACCATCAACATTCTAAATCACTCAGTCACTGAATCACTGTCTGCGCGTTGCGCCACAATCTCTGTACACCGAGTTATCGCGTACCGCGAAAATAAAAATCAACCGAGATTCCGATCCGTTACGACGACCGAGAAACGAAAAGTTTAGGCCGGAATAAATTTTCGTTCGACCTCGTCATCTGAAATTCTGATGGGACGGAGTCCCTCTGGACGCGTCCGTTCGACTCGGAGGGAGTCTTCCGTGCCTCCCAGCGCGTTTCCCGGGATGAAAATCGCGCGAGGAATGCTTTCGCTTCGACGTTCTAAGGCGCGTGTCCGGTACGCGTTGCCATAAGGAGATAAGAATCTCGCGGAATACTCACTCGCCTCGGCTGTTTGAAATTTCAGACGCATCGAAAACGTTTAGTTTCGATTCAATTTGAAATCCTCCGCGCATTCAGTCGCGGTTTCCGCGTTCGAATCATTCCGCGCCAAATCGATCTCCTCCGGGGTCAGGAATCTTTGCGACATCGAAACATCTACGCGTGGAATTAGAAATTATGTGAATATCGTTTGATATAATTGCTCTGTGTCGCCGAGACCGTTGTCCCCGAGGAGGAAGAATGATCGATACGACGTGGGATGTCCCGTTAGGGTCGCGGGCGTCTCGGAGGTCCGGTCATTGACGAGGACGATCACGGATTCTACTCCGAAGAAGATACGACGCGTACGGTAGGGGGAAAAAAGTCTGGTAATTTCGTGTCAGTAGACACTACGGTATTACCATTTACAATGACCATTACCATACGACAAGGCACGGGATAGAGAGCGAGAGAGGGATGAGAAAGTTGTCGGGACTGTACATAATTGCACAACGCACCGGAGTACGCGCATGTACGGACGAAAGGAAAACACAGGCTGTACTGTGTACCATTTGTTCCACGTGCTGTTGCGCATAAATGCACAAAAATGATTTACATCGTTCCCGATACACGCTTGTAATGGTGTTTCTATGGTTCGAGCTGTAAAGAGAGCGTGGAAAAGACCGCTATCGCGGTCGACTATTCGGTAGGCTGGTAGATTCTTGTAAATTTCTTGCCGCAGGAGATAAAATGTTGTGTTTAATTAAGCTCCGTGACCAAGAATTCGCGAGAATCCACCGCGGCGGGGAGTTCGTTGGGAATTCCATCCCCATTTTACACGGCGAACGAAAAGGAAAAACGAACTAGATTCGTCCAAGATTGTTTATTTTTCGCGCGGAGAAAGAAGTTCGCGCCCGCGTGATTCAAAACGCTAAGGATGCGAGGGTTGTATCGGTATTCAACCCACGCGCAACGGATCCGAGACCACTGGGCCAGCCGTGTTTTGTTCAGCATAATTACCTCCGATACAGCCATTAATTAGTATCGCTAATTATGTGGAACAGCGGCAGCAAATACGGCAACGGTTCGAGAACTCCGTAGCCACTCGGTTTATCCTATTTGTCGCGCATAAATAACAGATTAATGCCGCGATATGGTAGCTTATGCAAATGCGGGTTCAAAGTTTATAGCATCTAATTAACAATATTACCGGGAGGAGGGTGGGCTAGAACTTAATAAGCCCGGATCGACCGGTTACCCGCGATTTAATCGAGCCCTGGATCGCCGAAAAAGTTGCTCGAATTCCATAGAATTCCAAGCTCGATCGGACTTTCTTTATTCCCCGCCAGTCCGCGGCAATTATGCCTTTTCTTAGCCACGCCGTAATAACGTATCGTAACGTATTACCAGCACGACGGTCAAGGTGTAATAAATTATTCAGCACGCTCGAGCAATAAGCACGTTGGTCGTTTCGCCATTCATCGGCTCGCTATCGAACCGAGGCGCTCGAATCCTATAGAACGGTCGACTTTGCCTCTATCTCTCTACAGCCATTATAGAGCACGATCACGCCTCTCAAAGTACTAGAAACAACGTCGAAAATTTCATTCTGATAGGCGTATCCAAAAGCATGGTGCTGTGACCCTTAACCGGTTCGTGGACAGTGAACGCGTTGACCTCATTATTAGACTCTTGGAAAGAATGCAATAAATGGAAAATTTCTGATTTGGCATACGCAAATCCGCGATCGAGGGATCGACGTCGAGGAAAAAAGGAGGGGGGGGTGGAGGGTCTGGACGGTGGGACACCGGAGACGTAATGCGACGCCTTGATGGACGGCTCGATCGCGAAGCCGGAAGTGGCCAGTGAAAAAACTGGCATTTAGAGGCGAGCAGGGCACCCTGCCAAGTCCGAACGTCCATCGTGGATGGGAGGGCTGAAAGCAGGTTAGGCCAACACACCGGTCGGCTGTTTGACATAACCAGTTCGGAGCTGCGGGCAAGGACGCCGCCGCCGCCGCCTCTTTCCCGTCCTCCTGCGCTCTCCTTTTCTCCTGGCTCTCTCTCCTGGGACACAATCGCCCGTTCCTGACCACCGCAATGTATCACGATCGATCGCTGCCACTCAGAAATCGACGCTCGACTCGGGGGCCCCCGTGTGAACCGCCCCGGATACCCCTTACGTCGCTTCGATTTCGTGGTCGGTTAGGCGAATCCGAGGAAACGCGCAATATAACAATTCGATATTTCCCGATGAAAACCTAGAATGGGTAATAATGGCACGCGACATCGAGCGAAGGATTCATTCACAAACGCGAGATCTCTGTTATTACATTTTGATGTCCCCGCGTACCAATAAGGAAGGCTTCCTGGAACACTCGCTCGTTTATCTTCATTTTAACTGAAAAGGATACCGCTGTGTCTTTATAATAAATCTCTCAGGATAGTTTCAGGGGGCGCCGACTCGACGAATATTTCTAGCTTGGGAACAAAAATTACTTACGCCCTGCCTTAATAACGTTGCTAGTAAAGTTAATTCCACGCGACGAGGATAACAATTAAAGATCATTTCATTACGCGTCAACGTCAGAACCTGTGATTCTTAGCAAGACTAATGGCAACGACTTAATAACCTGCCGCTCACGCGCCGACTTCAAAGGATTCCAGGATCATTCTCAACAAGCAAAATTGAAGCTTTCTCTTCCGTGTCCAACGATGCACTCCCTAGGCACACCCATCATAACACTTAGATTCTAATGAGCCATAAAACACTCGTCTCTGCTTTACGCGTAATAACCAATAACAAGATAGTGTACAGTTATAGTTCGGGAGGAAACTCGAGCGTAAATCGGTACACGTTTAACGCCAACGAGAACATGGTTGAACGTTAACAAAATAAATTAATCTCCTATCGATCGAGGATTACATGCACCGCGTCGTACTTAGTAGTTAAATCGATCGCGGGATAGCGATGGTTTCTCGAATGTAAACGAACTCTAAACGATTTAAAACTTTAATGCAACTTTTCGATTTACTTCGTCCACTTTGTACGAGTAACGAGGGGTCTACGATTTTCCAGAAAGAAAAACGTGAATGGTCGCGCAATTTTTCCAGACGTCGATCCGGGGTCGCCACCAATTATTCCGAACAAAATTAAAATAAAGCTAATAAGATAGGCTGGAAACCATTTACAGACAAGCGTTTTTGCCGGCTGTCAGATCTACCTGAGCGATCGGCCTGCTGGGCCGGTGGTTGCGAGCGGAAAGGAAAACGCATCGCCGGGGTACCGCGTTTTTCCTTTCGCATGTATACGCGCGGAAGATCGACTCGCGTGTACGCGGAGATACCATGCTCGATCGTTAAACCGTGATGGAGGTAAGTTCCACGAAAAACTGGATCCGTAACGTAACAGGGTCCCTGCGGTTGATTGTTGTTCGCGAGGCGAGTCGAACGCTCAATGAGAAAACAACCGTTTACGATACGCGCGTGTAAGTTCTTCGTCGGCCAGCTTTTTGCGACCAAATCGTTCGACGAACTTTCCCGGGTCTCGCTGGAAAAATTACAACCCTTTTGGCACGGAGGCGTTCGACAACGTCTTGGCCTCGAAATAGAATCCGAAAGAACCGCTTTCAACAATGGGCTACGCAAACTAATTGGCTATTCCTTGAGAATCCGAACTGTTTTATTTTGTACTACCAAAGATCGAACCTGTATAATGATATATAAGGGTTCGTATACGCGTACACGATTCTCCGTTTCTTTTTTACGTGGAA